GCGACGTCATCAATGCGCCGACAACAATGCGCCGACAGAAGCGCGATTTAAGTTAAGGTAAGGGTTAGGTTCAGAACTTGGGGTTATTGTTCGTTGAAGGCGCGCTTTTGCGCTCATTCGTCAGCACGATTTAGAACTCACGGTTTTCTCGCCGCGGTTTCGTTGGCGCGCATTTGTCAGTGAACCAGTGGAATCTTATCTATTACTAATGATGTGGAAGAAAATCAAGATGATTCTGTTGTGATTTTCTATCTGTTTCAAAATAACTTAATTACAGATTCTTATTTAGCAATATTTCCAGAAAAGTTTTTTTTAATGAAAATTCCTTCTTCTTACCACTTTCTCATGTGGTCCTTAAAAGTAAATGGTTTCCCTCAGCCCAAAAGGATTGGAAATACTTATAACAATGGGTTCCACCACAAATGCGCGAACGACAAAAGCGCGCCTGACTAAACCGCGGTGACAAAACTGCGCGACGAAGGAGCCCTGAAGCGCCGACAACAGCGCGCCGACAGAAGCACGCTGTAACCTAACCCTAAACCTAACCCTAACTTAAATCGCGCTTCTGTCGGCGCGCTGTTGTCGACGCGCTTTTGACATCGCGGTTTTAGCACCGCGGTTTTGTCGGCGCGCTTATGACGTTCACGCTTTTGTTGAGTCACGATAACAATGATACATTAACAGCTAATTTTTTTGAAAATCGTTAAAATGGTTTGTTTGAAAATTGAAATGGGATGTAGTGTACAATTAAAAATAAAAGTACCTATAAAAAAGTAAGGGAAATTTAATTATATAGAATTGAATTGTTTTAGAGTTATGCAGCTGCAATAGTTGTGTATACATGACCAGCTTTCATTAAGTAGCTCATATTGTTTACTTCTTTCTCCAGTTCATATTCTTCACATATAGCTTCTGCAAGTTTGCATTCAGATGTGTGTCTTACTGCTCACCTAGTTTCCACTGAAGGTAGCAGACACATTTGACAAAGGGACACAGATTTTTCAGCAGCAAACTGAAATCTGAGATTGCTTATCACATGAGAGCTGGCCTTGGTTCTGTTGGCTATGAAAAAGAAGCAAGTACACTGCTTGCTCATGAATTGTTGTGGCCCAGCAGGAGCTGTTGGAACTGCCACCAGACTCTGACAGCGAAGGGTCCTATGAGTCGGCTCTAGAGGTGGAGGACCCAAGCAGGTTGCAAAGAGGCTGGTTGGCCACCAGGAGGAGCCTGAGCCTTGGACCAGTAGGGAGGAGACAAGGGAGTGTGATCCCGACATCATGCATTGGAGCAGTGGGGAGGAGCCAAGGGAGTTGTTCCTGGATGCCCGGCACCGAAGAGCTAATAGGCGTAAGGAGCAGTTACGCAGTTACAGGAGATAATTGCACTCAGCTGGTGGTAATTAGGCTCCTCTCAAGACTATAAAAGGAATGAGTGTGCATACGCTCTTTGCAGGAGTCAACATATTCATTAAAGTTGGAGAACTCTCGTGGCTAACTTGGCAGGCTGGATTGCTACCAAGGATAGTCTGTGCTGGCTTGCTGCCAAGACCTGGACTGTGCTGGATTGCTGGCAACATCTGGACTGTGCTGGCTTGCTGCCAAGGTCCCATCTGTGTATTAATAAATCCTATCTCTGTCTTGGTGTGCTTTCGTGTAGGACGAGGGGGGTCAGAACATGAACATACATTACTTCGGCTTTCACCAGATTCACCTAGCACAAAACTTTAGTTGTCGGTGTATAGCTATATCACGCTTGCAATAATTCAATATGATCCATAGCATTGTAAGGTACACACAGGGCATTTTAAACCTGAATATTCACTCATGGTTCATTGAAGAACTACTTGCACATACAGACTCGCAGGGGGGAAAAAAAACATTTCAGCCAACTTTCCATGTACCGTAATCGTCAGTTTTATTTGTAGGAAAGACTGCATATCTGATTCCTGCATATGTAAAAACCTTTTTGAAAAGGTGAAAAAGGTGATAAAACCTCAGGAGTATCTAAAAATTAAGCAACAAGCAGAGCCATACAATCTTTTAATTTCTCGCTCACTCTTCTATTAATCTGGAAAGAAATGCAGAGAGCCAGGCTATAATCAGAACGCTTGCCTACGTTGCCAGAGCTGCAAGATCATTCTCTTAAAAGACGACATATTGCAAGAGAAATTTTGCCATTTCAGATTATTCATTAAAAAAAATATAAGCAGCTAGTTCTTCCTGAAAGACATTTAAGAACAGAACAAGAACAATCCAAATGAAATCTGAATCACACATGTTTTTTTAAAAAAAAATTCATTAGAAAAGAGCAAGAAAAAAGTTATAAGCCATTACAACTTCCTTAACATGTTCCTGGAATGCCAATACCCAAGAATAGAAAAAGCTTAAAATAATCATTCCAAGAAATTACTAACCTAATCTATCCACAGTGTGTTGCGTCGCAACATTTTTCACTGGCAGTGCAGAAAACACTGCTTTTCAGCTGGGAACAAATTGATTTCCCCTCTTTCTACTCTCCCCTCCCCTTCATTAAACCATTTAAACCATAGGAATTAAGGCAAAAGCAGAAGATACCCATTTTTAAAAGATCTGGTAGTAGAAATCTCTTAAATCTTTCCATTTGCAAAACACCACGGCTGGTCTGGGACAGGCAATTCATTTACGGGGCTGATGGATGTATTGATTGACATGTTGTGGGGGAGGAAGTTTTTCCACAGAGGGATGTGGTTTTTGGTGGGCCACTTGTGCTGCAGCTGGAGGGAAGTCTTTATCACCCTGATTAAAGAACAAAGAACACATCAGCATTAAAAACATCACACAGACATATCAACAATTAGTTCCCCCCCCTTTTAAGAATAATGAAGTTTTGCTGAAATGACCTTCAAATTCTTGTCCCACCTTGTCTCCTAAGCACTTATGCTTCAAAAAGCTAGTGTATATCAGCATGAGCCCATTAGAAATCCATAAGGTATGTTTGTGAATGGATTGTTGGACTTGCTCAATTTCAGCTTCCATAAATAAATACTAAAGTGGTGGGAACTGTTTAGAATAGGAATTATGCCTGAATGAATCAGTAAGTACTGTAAATTCTAAATCAATTAAAATCTATAACATTCAGTGAAGTCTTTTCAGATATTGAACACTGAACTTCCAATGTACTAGGCTTTTTGAAACACAAATCGAAATTGAAGTGTGCTTATTATTTGCACCTGAAACTGAAGCTTTATTTTTTTTAAAAATGAAATGATCCTCTTATAGCGGTTACACATCTGATTGCATTTGAAGTACCGTATTTTCACCCATATAACCCGCGGGTTATACGCGTTTTTTACAAACACAGCACGCCCCTGCGGGGTATAAAAGTGGGCGGTGTATGCAGAAAACATTTTACACAGATTGACTACAGTAAATTGACCCGCCACGAGTAAGAGAGAAGGGAATCTGCTGAGACGAAAGCCTG